AACCCTGTTTATTAAAGTCAGCACATCAAAAAGGATCAAAGAGAAAGTTAGTGAGAACCAAAGAAACCCCAAGTATATTGTGTTGTCTCACTGGGGAGTTATGCAGATTCAAGTAAACAAGTGCAAATTGTTGAGGTTTTAATGAAAATTTTCTACAATTATTGAATCTGAAGTCATTCTATATAATAACATCTGTACAACAGATGGCCATATGATATAAAAGGCAAGCAATGTTCCTTTTTCTTTCCCTGTTTTAACAGTACATCTGAGATGACTACTTTTGTCACTGTGCTCAGTTTGGTTCAGTAAATAATTCACAAACTGCAGCTGCTACACATGGTCACAATACTTATACGACTATTATAAAATTAAAGTCGCAGTAAAGTATTTGTGTATTAGTTTTATACTATAAAATATCTGACGTTAACTCTCTTCAAGTAAAAAGTTAAATCCATAAAGCTTGTTAAAAAGAACATTCTGAATATTTAAAATAGTTCTTATTGACATAGCTATTGAATTTTTCCATTCGGCTTACTTGCATGATAATGTTACACTTAATAAAACAATTCTTGCTAGTAACTGCAGTATTCTTGTTTCTTGTGAAGAACTTTGAGACAAAAATATAATTCAAGCCCCCATCTCAGTATTTTATCTTATTTCCTAAAGTTACCTTTAGAGTGTATTTAAACAAACAGTTTTAAACAACAATTCTTAGGAAATGTGTTTTTCAATTACTGACACTGAAAAACAATTTCCCACATTGCTGTAATGGAATTCAAAAGCTTGAGTGATGTGTTTTTCTTCTTACAAAACAGAAAGCTACAAGAACTTTAATAGGATAAATGTGAAAAGAGTCTATTGATCTTACTTTATTGTATGGCATGGGAAGTTATTCATATTAAATGATTAGCTGTAATTTTGATTAGATTCGACACTGCTATCAGTTTATCTAAAAGCACTTGTCAGAATAAAAACATACTAGAGATCTGAGAAAAGTTTACAAAATTAAAAAAACCACCCACAACCCATAAATTGTCCCCTCGTGCTGCCAGAAAGATTAAGAAATACAACTCTGTAGCAGAATGTTTCTGAGGCTTAATATGCAAGTCAAGGTAAGTCCTTCTGGGAGAAAGAAAACTCAGGGGGAAGTGATATACATTGTTGGGTTTGCCAAATTACTTTATAGTACAGTGACAAAGTAGGCTTCGCTTTGATATATAGAAGCTTGCTGCGGACACCATACTGCACCATCCAAGGGATAAAGTATGTGTATGACAGAAGGGAAGTGATGGAAAGAAAGAGGATTAGAACACACCAGGAAGGTGAAAACTATGTAAAGGATATTAAAAATGCCCTTTTCTCTAGTTGCTGCTATTTCCACACGAGGATTGAGATTCTATTAGAAAAGCGTGGGAATGCATTCACTGTTCCTGTCTGTACTGCAATTTATTTGTGGATAAATAAGAATTTCAGCCTCTAGCGCTTTCATAGTCTTTCATGCCCTATGAACCTTGAATTTTTCATTTTTAACTTTTCAAACAATAAAAAAAGCACTGAAGTTTATTGGCTTGAGAAGGAATATTTGTGCTGAAAAAGAAATAAATCACCTACCTTGGCCTAGAACTCATACTTATCAGCTACAAACCAATTTCTTTATCTCTTAAGCTATACTGCCACCTGGCTAGGACTGGCTAACTTCCAGATCATGTAAATGAACCATCTTATTAGTTTTACTAGGAGACAATACAGTTTATAAAGTGGAGCAAAAATCTTTAAATCTAAAGGGGAATCTATCTATTTTTTGCATTTTTCTAATTCTACTTAGGGTGTGAAATTCCTCACATTTTCACAGGCTAGCCTACACTAGAAGAGCTACATTGGAGCACCTATGCTGCAGTAGTGTGTTTGGTGCAGCTGCTCTATGCCAGTGGTCCCCAACCTTTTGGTGCTGCCGGGAGCCTGCAGGAGGGACTGCTCATGCGCCGGGAATCTGGGGGCAGGGCCGCTCGTGTGCCGTGTGCTCCGGGGTGGGGCTGTACATGCACCACGCGGCCAGGGGTGGGGCTGCTCATGTACCAAGGAGTGGGGCTGCGCATGCGCCGTGTGCCCAGGGTGCAAGAATGGCTTGGGGCGTCCCTGCTCACTCCGCAGGAGCACATAAATGCCCCGGAGGGCGCCCCGGCGTCCGCAGAAACCACATTGATGATCACTGCTTTATGCCAATGGAAGAGAGCTCTTCTGTCAGAATAATTACTTCACCTCTTTGAAAGGCAGAAGCTATGCTGACAGGAGAGCATCTCCAGTCAACACAATGACAGTCTGGACAGCACTTAGGTTACTGTAACTTGTGTTATTTAGTGGGACAGCTTTTTCATAGCCCTGAGCAACATAAATTCTATTGACATAAGTAATAGCGTACATCTGCCATAAATCTCAAGCAGTGACCGCTATTGCCACAACTGGAAGATTATTATTTTGTCTGAGAATGCTTGGGTACCTAATTCCCATTGATTTTATTGATTTCAGTGGGAGTTAGGTGACTTGGCACTTTTGAAAATGTCTATCTGCATCTGTAGATACCTAAATACCTTTAATAATCCAGTCTCTAGTATCTACTGTGGGGAAATTCTAGTTTGCCTCTCTTGTATACACAGTACATTACAGCATGTCTTAGTGTCCATGTCATCAGAATTCAACCCAAAATTATAAGAAAATAATAACAAAACCATAGCAATTGATAGAATACGTTGCAATATATCCCAGGCCCTCAAACTCTTTACAAATACTATTAAACCATGTGACAACCATTATAGGGACAAGTAGTACTGAAACAATTCCTTCCATTTTACTAATAGAGCAGAAATAGGTTAGCTGATTGGGTCAAGGTCACACAGCAAGTCCAAGCAAAGCCAGAAATAATACTCAGTAATCCTGAATTCCCAGTTCTAATTACCACACAATATGACAAAGAATATAGGAGAGTGCAAACCTGGCTTCTCTATTACTGGTGAACTACTGTATAAAACTGTAGTTCTAAAGTTTACAGAGTATGAGTGAATGGTTTCAGGAGGGTTTTGTGGGGAAGGCTGATTTTTTTTGGTGACCTGCTGGTTACAGTAAATCACAGAATCCTAGAACTGAAAGGGACCTTGAGAGGTAAAATAGTCCAGTCCCCTGCCCTCACGGCAGGACCAAGCACTATAGATCATCCCTGATAAGATTTCTATTTAACTCCCTCTTAAATATCGGCAGTGACGGAGATTCCACAATCTCCCTAGGCAATTTATTCCAGTGTTTAACCACACTGACAGTTAGGAAGTTTTTCCTAATGTCCAACCTAAACCTCCCTTGCTGCAAGTTAAACCCCATTATTTCTTGTCTTATTAAAGAGAACAATTTTTCTCCCTCCTCCTTGTAACACCCTTTTAGATACTTGCAAACTGCTATCAGGTCCCTCCTCAGTCTTCTCTTTTCTAAACTAAACAACCCCAATTCTTTCAGTGTTCCCTCATAGGTCATGTTTTCTAGACCTTTAATCATTTCTATTACTCTTCTCTGGAATTTTTCCATATCTTACTTGAAATGTGGTGACCAGAACTGGACACATTACTCCAATTGGGGCCTAATCAGTACAGAGCAGAACGGAAGAATGACTTCTCATGTCTTGCTCACAACATTCCTGTTACTGCAGCCCCGAATCATGTTTGCTTTTTTGCAACAGTGTCGCACTGTTGACTGATATTAAGTTTGTGGTCCACTATGACAACAAATTTAATAATCATATTCTCTTTGCCATCATCTAAATCGTTGATGAAGATATTAAAGAGAACTGGTCCCAAAACAGACCCTGCAGAACCCCAGTTGTTATGCCCTTCCAGCAGGATTGAGAACCATTAATAACTACTCTCCGAGTACAGTTATCCAACCAGTTATGCATCCACCTTATACTAGCCCCATCTAAGTTGTATTTGCCTAGTTTATTGATAAGAATATCATGCGAGACCTTATCAAATGCCTTATTAAAGTCTAGGTATACCACATCTACTGCTTCTCCCTTATCCACAAGGCTTGATATCCTATCAAAGAAAGCTATCTTATAGGTTTGGCATGATTTGTTCTTTACAAATCCATGCTGGCTGCTACCTATCACCTTATTATCTTCCAGGTGTTTGCAGATGAATCCTTAATTACTTGCTCCATTATCTTTCCTGGCACAGAAGTTAAACTGGGTTGTCCTTATTTTCCTTTTTATAGATGGACACTATATTTGCTCTTTTCCAGCCTTCTGGATTCTCTCCCGACATCCATGACTTTTCAAAGATGACAGCTAAATGCTCAGATACCTAGGCATTCTAGGATGCATTTAATCAAGGCCTTGTGACTTGAAGACATCTAACTTTTCTAAGTAATTTTTAACTTGTTCTTTTTTATTTTACCTTCTAACCCTACCTCTTTTCCACTAGCATCCACTAGCAAAAGACTGGAAATCAGGAGTTTTGGGACTAGATTCTCCAATCCACTAACACTATTTTGTGCTGTATAAGCAGTGCAAAGTGGCCTGAAAGTGATGGGAGAAAGCCAAGGAAAAATTTTGGAGCTGTCAGCAGAAGGCTGATGGAGACACCTCTACTATCCCACGTCAGCCGTCTCTCTCCTCTGGACTCAGGAATTGGAGAGGGGCAGAACATAACGGGAAGGGAGATGGGAAGAATGGAGCTCTACTATCACAGAGAATCCTCTACTATCATAGGGAAACTAATGCTGTATGATACCTATGTGTAGCCATAACTTCTTGAACCAGGGAACAGTTTATTGAACTCTGCAAACCCCAAATGCTACCTAAGAGTAGAGAATTCAGGTAATTAGTTCTGCTGTTAAACCACTGTGTAATCCTGAGCACCAAAGCAAGCTCTATCTCTAACATTAATAAGCTGTAAAATTGGTAATATAATATCACTTATATAAAGTAAGTAGCATCTTTCATTTTTAAAAGCTCTTACCTGTTGTTTTATGTCCAGATCTGACGTTCAGATTTCCCCTAAGGTTTGATAGAGATGCTAATAGGCAAGGTTTTTTCAGGTGTGGCATGGTTTCCACAGAAACAACCATTTGAGCAGTATGAATGGAAATCTTTTGAAAGCAGGAAAGAACTCTCCACAAGTTTTCTTGGACTGAAGCCATTTGCTCTCCATTAGCACTTATTGCAGGCAAAAATTCCTTTCTACTGGAACATTGGGGTGCTGATATGCCATCCTTGATTGGAATGCTATCAGCTGAAGCAGCAGCCTCCTTACTAGTGTCATAGTCATTTGTCCGTATTATCTTCCTCAGGAAATGATTTATTTGGTCAAGTTTGACAAAGCTCAGGTTTGCTTTCAAAGGCTTTGAAATAGCCACATTTATGTCAGCTGGAGAAAAGATTGAAGAGAGACAAAAACATTCTTAATTATTCATTTAATAGATAAATAATTACCATTTATTTGAAGTATGGAGAGATATTGTCTCTCTTACATGTTATTAATTTGAGAATCAATATTAAAACATAAAGCAATCTTTCAGTGAGTAACTGCTGATATTGAGATTTTAATACAATTACTAAAAACAGTGATCCCTACTTTAATGGAATAAATCTAACACAATCTTATTTTTTTGTTTCTGTTCAAGGATCATCACAGCCCTATGAAAAGAAATAGATGTAAACATGAGTGATTCCAGTGTGCAGGATAGTATATGTAAATCTGCATGCATCAGCCTGGAAATATATATTCCTTATTCCTTTGAGTTAAATAACTCTAGTGGTACTATATATATAAACTATAAAGTTGACAGTGGAAATTTTCACCACACTTAAATTGATGGATAATGTGTATACTTGTTTGGTTTTTTACTTGGTGGTTATATAATACTGTTTTAAATGTTTTTTTGTACTTAAATGTGAACTGTACAGCAAACCTGAAAAATTAGTTATGCTAAATCTCAACTATGGGGAAACATTCAGGACAGGAATAATGCAACTTTTTACAAATACTTTTCTTTTCTGCAAAATCTTCTTGGTACTTCCTGTGAAATTATATTGATACTTCCTGATTTTATTAAAATATCTCACAGTGCATTATTTTGAGAAATCACAAAATGAATTTCATGGATTACGATGCTATATTTGATAGTTGTGATGTTGTATTCCTGAAAAGTACCAAGACAATTACGTAAATGGGGCAGCAGAGTTTTTAGGTTAAATCTTATTTTTATGTTGCTGAATGCTTCTCAGAGCCAGTGAGTTGGGGCATTCATCACAAAAATCCAGGTTTAACTCAGTTTTTATTATCCTGGCCACACTAGAGAAAGACAGCGGCAATGGATGTGGTTTAACTGAAAGAGAATTTTACCCTCTTAAAATATATGGGAATACCCAACAACAAATCATACAGTGCAGGTCATCAATATTTCCTTAATTGTTTCCCCTCATTTTCAGCTATTGCAACCTTGTTCTATGTAGCCCACAAGGATTAAGGGGGCTAAAAAAAAGGAGGGAGTTGGCTCTCCGTTGTACTGGGCTTTAGGAGCCCTAAACCCACTGCCCCTCTTCCTCTAAGAGATATTTTGCTCTAAATCTCCCTCTAATACATTTTTTCTGATAACCACATCCCTTCCATAATGAGTACCTGCACTCGGCATCTAACAATCTTTTTTAGTTATTATGTTGTGACATAACAACCTGTCTCCTGTGCCCGACTCCACCATGCCCCAAACCTAGTGTGAGGAATGCAAAAGAACCAACCTAGGGCAGTCTGGAAGTGAAAGAAAAATTCCTTCCCAGCTCCCAAGTAAAAAGGCAACTAGTGTAATGTCAATAGCAAGTCACAACGAAACATGATTCTACTCTTAATCAATGGGCGAAGGATGGATGTTGTTAGCTTGATCACAGTGACAGAAGGCTTTGCTGCAATTGTCAAGGGTGTAAGCATCCTTCTCCCTCAGGCCACCTGGAAGGGCAGTGACTCCACACATACACATGGTCTAGCTACTCCTGTTTCTCCTCGCCCATACAGGTAATCTTTCCCCTTCTTTCCTTTTTGTACCAACTGCAGAGGGAGTCTCGTAGGGGCAACAACTCCCTTCAATCTAGTCAGTCAGACAAGAATCCACTGCATAAAGTTGATGTAAGTATATTTTTGCTGAGCTGCTCAGCTTTTATTAGGTAAAGAAAAATTGAAAAAGGTAGTTGCTCTTTAAGAAAGAAAAATTTTTTTTCCCTATGTAATTCTTTTCAGTTGCAGAGCATAAGGCAATTACTTTCACTCATGCAACTAAGCTGTGTGAATGTTCACAACAAATACAAAACTGTCTGATTTTAGGTTTTTGTTACAAGTTCATGTTGCAGACAGTTTATTGTATAGGTCACATCTTTACTATATATTTTAGAAATGTGCATCTGTCTGTCTATCCATGAGTCCATTTGTTCTAGAACTCCTTGTAAATGGTAAGAGCTAGAACAACCACGTTTGGTATGCAGCTTCCTCTTATCTTAACTTAAAGCAGCCAGGACTATGGAATATGCGTGGAATTCAATTGTTTCATATAAAATGGAAAGAGAAGTGTCTGGCAGGAGGAAGTTATACTGCAGAATGACCACAGGGGACAGCAAGGGGCCAGAAATGGGCACCAGGACAGCTATAACCCCATTGGCCCAGCAGAGGGCAGGGGTGGAGAAAGGGACAGCTATCTACTATATATTTCAGAGAGTTTGTCTGTTTGCCTTTCTGTGTGTCTCCCTCTCAGCAGGGGAACATGCATCCCTCCCTGTGTGTGCCAAGTGCAGCGGCAATGGGCAGGCGCTTCTCACCTGGCCCCAAGCTGCTGCAGTAAGTGAGAGCTGGGATTGTCCTCTCTTCCCAGGGCAGCCTGCCTACTGAACATCGTAAGGACCTAAGCTACGCCAGGTGATAGTGGGTTGATATATTTTTAAATCAAAGTGGGACCAACTTTCAAGTTTAAAATGACCAGCTTGTTCATTTAAGACAAAATCATTTCAGATTTGTGGTGTAGCCAGATGAACTGAGTGGCTTCTCAGGCAATATAAAACTTTTCACCTCAAGAGTAAAGGGCAGCAAGATTAGATCCTTTCACCACAATTCAGAGAATGATTAGTTTACCATTGATTTCAATAGGCATAAATACATGCTTAAAAGCATTCCTGAATCAGGGCCTTATTCTCTAAAAGTAAAACTAGGACTTTTTTCCTACAATGACAGGACATAAACTTGCGAATGGGAAGGTCAGACATCCATTATATCTTTAAGGAAATGTGGAATTCAAAATAAAGCCTTTCTGGAAAAACACTCTTCATACTTCATTGGGAACAGTTAGTTGTAAGCACAGTTAAAAACTATTTTATTCATAACTCACCATTTTAATTAATAGCCTTCTGAGAAACTGTCTTTTTGTGCTGAAACTTTCCATGCTGAATTGAAAAGTATAGCACTAGCAAAGACAGGTAAACAACAGAAAGGCACATATAGAGGCTACAAGGATGGGTAGAAAATAACATAAGTAACAACTTGAAATACAGCGAGAAAGAAGGGTAAGGTAAGTAACAGAGGTTCAATTTTTAGAAGTATGTAGGTGCTATTGCAGTCAGCGGTGCAATGCCTAACTTATTTGGGAGTCTATCTAAATGTCAATTTGAAAAGGAATTTAGGCCACAAGAGTCCTAAATCCCTTTTAAATTTCAACTGTAGGATCCTAAGTCAAATAGGCATTGCAATGCTTACCTTTAATAATCTGGGACTAGGATTCTCTGATTTTCTCCTGGACTCACAATCTCAAATAGACAAGACAATGTTTTAAAAAGTAAAAAAAAAATCTATTAGTGAAATTTTCAAAACCACCTAATTTCCTAGATATTTTGGAAACTCATTAGATCATCAATGACATAACAGTTAAGGACCGGATTCCAAATATTTGTTGGTGTTGCTTCATAATTAAGCATGTGAAAAACTAAACTGGAAGAAAGACCTTCTTTTCAAGACCGTATTTGACTACTGATGATTTCCTGTAGCAGTATATTCTACTTCTGTAGACAGCAAGAATAAATGCATCCTAATATACATGTTCCACAGGAGAGGTGAAAAAGATGAAATCCTAGAGAACTGTGCATGAGAGACTTTAAGAGACAGATGAGTAATTGCCCAGAGGACCCTCTTGGGATCACTCGGACAGAGAAAGATATAAGGATAGAGAGACTGGACTGAGATGCATTTGCAGAGCTGCACATGGAAACTTGCACAGCACCTGTCTCATTATGTCTGTATTTAATCAGTGGTATTAGTTACTCGCTTTCATAAACCTTGAATTCGTTCAAAATGCTATAAGAAAGCACTGAAAAACAGAAGCAATGTAAGCCAAAGTAAGTGGATGACTTTCCTGTTTTCCATACTGAAACATTCTGTGTCATACAGCAAAAAATGTTGTCATGCCTGATACCCTGATATAAAACTTTATAAAGTTATTATTATATAGTAAATGAGACCTTATAGAAATTGGTTTCAGCCAAGAGGAAAATTGCAGAAAATTTAACATTGGAGCCTTTATTTCAAATATTTTAACAATCTCATAATAACAAAGATCAAGCTACAAGATTCTTTGGCATTTTAAGTAAAACACAAAAAATAAAAATAAAACGGAGCACTGCATATGATTCTATTCTTTGCCCTGTTTTACTCTTTCTTTTTAACACTGAGGAAGGATCATTAGCATTCACTCTGAGAAAAAGTTGCTGAAATGATGGACAGAATATATATCAGTGGACACCTGTGAAATCTTACTGCAACAGAGAAAGATCAAAACGGATGAATTTTTCAACCATCTGCTTGATTCCTTCACACCAGGTAAAGGGCTATTGCATCATAAAGGGACACTAAAAATCCTGGACAGGCAAGAGAAAATTCCCCAGTGCAAGACCTAAGAGAGAGAGCTGCAGTATGTCCTTAGAGAACACCTTCACATGGCATACAGGTGGGAGGAGCGTATCATGGGTAGAGCCACTGCACACGGTACAGAAGAAATTCTAGGCAGCATTCCTGACCACAGGCACACAGACACATAGGATGTTGTAATTTAGATATCCAGAGATATCTTAAGGGATCCTTAACAGACTGATAAAGGACTATTCCAAATTACATAACTACATAAGAATAAACTGTATTAGAGAATTTTATGGAAAAAATATTTTCTACCAGTGAATACTATACTTAATTAATCTACTTTCCTGTTTGCTGTACCTCTCCCTCCATTTCCTTGCCACATCTCTTTCGATTACCAAGTAAATCCATGTCTGTCAGTTATTAGTTTCTAATTACCCTTTACAACTTTCTGAACAGCTACTAGGAAACAGTATGATGAAATGACT